ACAGCAACAAAGACCCAATGCAGCCAAAAATAAATTTATAAAAAAAGAAAACATAAAAATAATGTACCTTTTTTAAAAAGTAGAATTACTTTATGTATTTTTTGTATCCATGTGATATATTTTTTGTATCCATGTGATTTTTTTTTACTGGCTTATAATTTACATACAGTAAAATTCATCCATTTTGTTGTACTGTTCTGTAAGTTTTGACGCTTATGTAACCACCAGCACAATCAAGATATGAAACAGTTCCATCACAACAAACATTCTACTGGTGTCCCTTTGTAATCAATCCTTCCCCCAACATGCAGGCAACCACTGATGTTTTTCATCCCTATATTTTTGCCTTTACCAGAATGTCACATAAATGAAATGATATGTTATGCAGAGTTTTTAGTCTGTCTTCTTTCATCAGCATTAACAGATAACATATTTTAAAAAACAGATTGAAAATAAATGATCTGAGTATAAGAAATTTTAAAAATTCCTATGTTATTACTAAGAAAATAAAAGGAATAATAAAGATAAAACAGAAAATAATGAAAAACAAAATAAAACAATACAGGTGATTATTAAAAAAAAAAATTAGGAATAGAAAGGAAGTTCCTTAACCTATTGAAGAAACCATAGCAAACTTAATGATGAAACTTCAGAAGTATTTCCATTAAAGTCAGGAAAAAGACAAGGATGCCCACTATCACTTCTACTATTCAGTGTTTTTCTAGTGACCCTTACTATCCCCTAAACAAGAAGAGGAAATATGACATAAAAATTGTCAAGGAAGAGAAAAAACTGCCCTTATTTTCATATTATATAATCATCTACATAGAAAACTCAAAGGGAAAAAGATGACATAAAAGAACTAACAGGTTTTTTTTTTTTTTTTTGTGGTATGCAGGCCTCTCACTGTTGTGGCCTCTTCCGCTGTGGAGCACAGGCCCCGGACGTGCAGGCCCAGCGGCGATTGCGCCACCAGGGAAGCCTGAACTAACAAGTTTACCAAGATGCTGGATATAAGCTTACATACAAATCAGAAACATTAAAACAATAAATAAAATAAAAATCTAACATGAAAAACACAACAGCAACAAAAACTACAGCGTCAAATAAAGGTAACAAAAGATGTGCCCAACACTGATGTAGAAAACTAAAAAAATTTCTGAAGAGTATAAAAAAGATGTGAATAAACAAGAGAGATAACATATTCGGGGATAAGAAAACTCCAATGTAAGATTCCACTTCCCCAAACTGATCAATAAATTCATAGGATTATGAAAGGAACTTAATGATCTAGGAATAACCACCAAAATTTTGAGAACAAAGAATGAAGTTGGTGTTCGGGTGGATTTGGTGTTATCAAATATTTTGCAGAGCTCAGTAATTAAACCAGAGGAATAGAAAAATGTATTAAACAGCTGGATAACAAGACCAGAAATAAACCCATCCATCCATAGGGACTTGAAAAATGGCAGAGATGGCTCTTCAAACCAATGGGGAAAGGATTCAATAAACTGTTTTGGAATAAATGTGGAAAAAATAAAATTATATTCATATTTCCAAAATAAAATACTAAGTCGATAAAAGAATTAAATGTAAAAAAAGCAAAACTAATACCACGATAAGAAATACAGAATAGATTTGTGACCTTAGCATGGGGAAAGTCTTTGTAAACAAGTCACAAAAAGCATATCCCATAAAGGAAGGGTGAAAGAGATTGGGTCACAACAAAATATAAAACTCCTTATAAGACAAGACACCATAAACACAGTTAAAGGATGAGCCACATGGGACTTCCCTGGCGGTCCAGTGGTTAAGACTCCATGCTTCCACTGCAGGGGGCGTGGGTATGATCCCTGCTCAGGGAACTAAGATCCTGCATGTCACGTGGTGCCACCAAAAATAATAAAATAAAATAAAATAAAATATTTTTTAAAAAAAATTGATGAGCCACAGGCTCAGAGAAGATATTTACAACAAGTAAAAACAAAGGACTGGATATATATTCATTATATAATATATATTTGTAATAATCTGCTGTCATTATTTTCTGTTTATATGAAGTTTATATAAAACTTACAAATCAAAAGGAAAATGAGTGACATGAACACGAAGCTCACAGAAGAGGAAATAAAGAGCGGCCAACGGACATGAAAAGAGGGTTGATCTCAAAAGTAATCAGGGAAATGCAAATTAAAGTCAGATACAAAATTTTTAAACCATCGAAAAATCTCAAAGTTTAATATTAATCAGGTACTGGAGTAAATGCTATTTGTCACACACTGTGAAGCACAAACTGTTGCAGCCCCTCTGGTAAGCAATAGGGCTGCATCTAGCAAAACTGAAAACCAGTCACTCCTCTTCTGGGAACACACCCTAGAGAAACTCTCATACGTGTACACATGTGGAGACATGTACAAGCGTGCTCATTAGGGGGACTATGAAAGTGGAAAATTCGAGGTAACCTAATTGTCTATCCATAAGATAACAGATAAATAAAAGCTGGTCTGTCTTCCAGTGGAATCCTACAAGATAGTTACTGGATTTGTACATAGTGTATCAATCTGAAAATAAAAAGTTGAGTAAAAAATACAAGTTGAATGATTACACATATATAAAATACACCATTTAGATAAACAGTTTTAAACCACACACAAGAAACGGTAAGCTTTCAGAAGCAGCTATAAAACTATTTTTTAAAGGGACCGCAGGAACACCTTCCACACTAAGCAGTGTGGGTGTCACTGTGAAAGAATGAAGGGTGTGTGTGGGGAAAACGGGAAAAAATAGATTAGACACAAATACTCTAAAATATTAGCAGTTGTTAATTCAGGGTGACAGAAAAATAGGCCTTCTCTTATATTTATAGCTTTCTTTGTAATTTAAATTTATCAAAACAGGAAAAGCAGCATAATCAAAATGCAGTTAGATGGCTCACCCTCAATCTTGTCTGCAGCACTTAATGGCTGTGTGACCTTGGAGAAGTTAACTTCTCAAGTGTCTCCTTCCAGATATAAATCATCAATACCAATTTACTTACTGTGAGGTTTATGTGCAGAACATGAATTAACCAGTCAGCACTAGGGCACTCTGTAGTTTCTGAAGTTAAACGACATTCAGCCACGCAGATAAATGCACACACTATGAGGGCACAGAAATCAAGCTGGCCTAGCCTGAGATCTGGGATTGGCTCATTCCCTGACAGCGGGACCACAGGACTTCTTAGGAAGGCTGAACAGTAGGCTTTGTGAACCCTGACACTGTTCTAAATCCCATGTCCCAGGGGAGCGACAGAAAGAAAAACCAAAAACATCAATGCATAGAAAAATATAAAAAGGCCCAATATGGACACTGTTATTTTATTACTGACTTCTTAAATAATAATGTCACATAGCACCGTCAACAAATAAATTATATTTATAATTTAAAAATAATTTTCATTTTATAAAAAATAAACTTGTGACTGTATTAACTGCACACGCATTCACCAACTAGATTCTAAATAATTTACATTAAGCAAACCATCCTCTCTGTCTTACAAGTTTAGCACAACGCTGGGTGCACAGCAGGCCACCAGTAATTATTGTTGATTTGGGGGCTGATCAACAACAGCTGAAGAAACATCTCAAATAATAGAAAAGCCCAGAAAACCTACAGAGACAAAACAGTTGTCAGCTTCCAGATCTATTAAGCGTGCAAATGCTTTAACCATCAAATGAAACCACTGTCCTCAGAGAAGGAACCAACATCTCAGTTATTAAGCACAGAACTTTATGGCAGCCAAAGATGGCTGCATTTGTGTCTTATCTACAGGTGTTACAGAGCCTCAAAAGGGCTGTGGACCAAAAAGCTGGAAATCATTCAAACTATTATTTTTTAATGGAGGGCTTTTCAGAGTTTTTAATGTTAATGTGCATTCTCTGAGAAGAGGATATATTACGCAATGTTTATCAAACTTAACTGAACAAAGAACCTATTTTAAGTTTCAGAGCCTCTGGCAGGACTGGAATTCCGCACTTTGGGAAAGCTATCCTAGAATATCTTTGTATTCACTGAATCACAAAACTAATTTTGATGATTTAATAAATAAATATTTAAGTAGTAGTTTGAAGTAAAAAAGGAAACCCAAAAAACTAAACAAACTGGTTTAACTACTTTGGAAAATTTTTTAGTGTTATTCACTAAGATATAACATACATGTACCCAATGACACGGCTACTACACTCTCAGGCAGAACACTCAACAACGTGTCTGTCCATAAGGACACCAAAAAATGTTCACTAAAGTTTTTAATAGCACACTATTCATGAGAGCCCCAACCTGGAAACAACCCACAGTAGAAGAAAGAAATTTAGAGAATAGCACATTATACAAAATGAAAACGAACAAACTACATGCTCACATGACATCATGGAGAATCTCTCAACCATAAGGTTGAGCTAAAGAAGCCAGGTACATAAAGAACAGACACTATAATGCGATTTATACAAAGTTGAAAAGCAGGCAGAAGTAATCTAAAGCATTAGAATTCAGGACACTGGTAACTTCTGGGGAGAAGGAGGAAATATAATTGGGAGAGACTGGAGGGGACCTTCTGGGGTGTTGGCCATGTGCTGTTTCTGTACCTAGATGGTAGCTACAGGTATGTTCACGCTGATAATTTATCTTCTAACTTGCACACTTTTCTTTCTGCATGCCATACTTCAACAGAAATGTAAAAAGAGCTTGGCAGTCCAATCAATTATCTGTTTATTCAGATACTATGTGCAATCAGTGTAGGCAGGTGTCCACACGATGTGCTGGCCCTGGATGCCCCAGCTATGGGAAGAGCACCAGGTACTAAGCCATGTCATCTTCAAGAGAGCCCACGAATTAAGGAGCTTTAAAGACCTTTACTGTTCACATTTCACAGGTGAGGAAACTAAGGCTTAGAAAGAGTCAGTAACTTGCCCAAAGTTACAGGCTGTAAGTGGTAGAGACAAAAATCAAACAAGACTCCAAACCTCATGTTCTTGGCCACTGCCCTTCCTATCCTGGGGAGTCTGCTGCAGCCCTCTTGACCAGAGCTGCTCTGAGTGGGTTTTAACTTCTTGCAACCATTGAACCTTGAGACAAACAGTAAAGCAGCATCACAGCCTTACCATCTTTACACAGAAACACTCAAGATTCACATTCTCAAAATCTGAAATATGAGTTACTAACAACAGTAATGAATAGTAACTAATAATTCATGCAGGTATGGACCTTTTATTTTGCATCAAAAACATGCTGGGCACAAGAAAATAAACTGGGGAGTGGGCAGAGGGATCAGCTCAAATGCAAGGGCTCTAGAGAAATGGAAAAGAGAGTTCAGTTACAGCAATGGTACAATTATTTAAGCAAAAATAACCTGATATTCTTTCCTAGGGTGCAAAAATGTTGGTTATTTTCTACAGAGTGAAAGTAAATTTAATTATTTAAAAAATATATAAAATGTTTCTAATTGCAAATGTAATACATGTTCATCAGAGAACTGTGAATGCAAAAACAAAGCACAAAGATAATAATAGCTGAAAGATAATGTTAACATTTTTTTTTTTTTTGGCTGCACCATGCAGCATGCGGGATCTTAGTTCCCAGACCAGGGATCAAATCCATGCCCCAATTTTTTTCCTTTTTATGGCTGAGTAATATTGCATTGTATATATGTACCACATCTTCTTTATCCATTCCTCTGTTGATGGACATTTAGGTTGTTTCCATGTCCTGGCTATTGTAAATAGTGCTGCAATGAACATTGGGGTGCATTTGTCTTTTTAAATTATGGTTTTCTCTGGGTATATGCCCAGTAGTGGGACTGCTGGGTCACATGGCAGTTCCATTTTTAGTTTTTTAAGGAACCTCCATACTGTTCTCCATAGCAGCTGTATCAATTTACATTCCCACCAACAGTGTAAGAGGGTTCCCTCTTCTCCACACCCTAATGACTGTCATACAGAGTGAAGTCAGAAAGAGAAAAACAAATATCGTACATTAACCCATATACATGGAAACTGAAAAAATTGGTATAGATGATCTTATTTACAAAGCAGAAATAGAGCCACAGACGCAGAGAACAAATGTATGGATGCCAAGGGGGAAAAGAGGGGGTGGGATGAATTGGGAGATTGGGATTGACATATACACACTATTGATGCTATGTATAAAATAGATAACTAATGAGAACCTACTGTATAGCACAGGGAACTCTACTCAGTGCTCTGTGGTAACCTAAATGGGAAGGAAATCCAAAAAAGAGGGGATATATGAAATCCAAAAAAGAGGAGATATATGTATACATATAGCTGATTCACTTTGCTGTACAGTATAAACTAACACAACATTGTAAAGCAACTATATTCCAATAAATATTTAAAAAAAAAACATAAGGAACTCTTACAACCCAACAGCAAAAAAAAAAAAAAAAAAAAGATCCAATTAAAACATGGGCAGGGCTTCCCTGGTGGCGCAGTGGTTGAGAGTTCGCCTGCCGATGCAGGGGACACGGGTTTGTGCCCCGGTCCAGGAGGATCCCACATGCCGCGGAGCGGCTGGGCGCATGAGCCATGGCCACTGAGCCTGCATGTCCGGAGCCTGTGCTCCGCAACGGGAGCGGCCACAGCAGTGAGAGACCCGCGTACCACAAAAAAAAATGGGCGAAAGACTTGAATAGACATTTTTCCAAAGAAGATTACAAATTTACAAAAGGCCAACGTGTATATGAAAAGGTGTTCAGTATCACTAATCATCAGGGAAATACAAATCAAAACCACAATGAGATATCACCCTACACTTGTTATCTCTTGTGTGTTTTTCATGGTAGCCATTCTAACAGGTGTGAGGTAAGAGGCCCACGTACTGCAAAAAAAAAAAAGAAAACATCCTGCCATTTGTAACAACATGGATGGACCTTGAGATCATTAGGCTAAGGGAAATAAGTCAGAGAAAGACAAATACTGCATGGTCTCACTTATATGTGGAATCTAGAAACATTTAATTCATAGAAACAGTAGAATGGTGGTTGCCAGGAACTAGGGGGTGGGAGAAATGGGGAGATGTTGGTCAAACGGTACAAACTTCCAGTTATAAGAATGTGTCTGGGGAATCTAATGTACAATGTGTGGACCATTTAACAATAGTGTATTGTTAGTACTTGAAAGTTGCTAAGAGAGTAAATCTTAACTGTTCTCACCACAAAAAAACAAAAACAAAAAACAACCCACGACCCCTGCAGTGGAAGCACAGAGTCCTAACCACTGGACTGTCAGGGAAGTCCCACAACGTTAACATTTTTGATGAAGATCTATCAAGCCTGTCTCTCCTCAGGAAAACATAAGCTCCCATCCCACCAGCTGCCACTGCCCTCATCCTATCCCTGTTTCAGCCACAAGGGCTTCCTTTCTGATCCCTGACTGTGTCAAACTCTTTCCCTCCCTCAGGGAGTCTGCCCTTGTTCCCCCTCTAACTCAAAAGTTAGAGGTTCTTGGCAAGTCTGGCTCCTTCTCATGCTTTAGGTCTCAGCAAAATGTCATTTAGGATAGTCCTTTCCTGGTCCCTTATCTCAAGTAGTTCCCCCAGCCCCTATCTTCTATCACATTCCTATCACATATCACATTCACATTATTCTCCTCTAAGCCCTTAACCCTACCTGGAATTCTTCGCCTGTTTGTTGTCTGTGCCCTTCACAAGAATGTAAGTTCATGAAGGAAAGGCCTTGCCCATATTGTTCAATGCCATATGCCCAGAGCCTAGCACACAGTAGGTGCTTGATGGGTATCTGAATATTGTACAAATGGTCTGGTAATGTGCTTTTATCCACTTAACATATTACGAAAATATTCCCAAGAATAAACTGAATCCAAAAGTAAATTTCTGAGTTTCTGTTAGATTATGCTTACTCTTCTTCAGCTATTTTCTAATACAAAGCCTTATTCTAATAGGCTGCACTGATTCTGATACTGTTCATTTAAAAATAAAAGGTCCAGACAGGAAAAAACAAAATAAAAGGTCCAGACAGAAAAAAACAAACACACAAACAAACAAAAACAAATTTCAATGAAATTCTGGGCCCAAGCATGGTAGATTCAGAGTCATCCAAGGCGAAAACATAAGCTAACTATTAAAGATAATTACTGGAAACTCCCTGGCGGTCCAGTGGTTAGGACTCCACACTTCCACTGCAGGGTTTGATCCCTGGTTGGGGAACGAAGATCCTGCCCGTAAGCAGCCAAAAAAAAAAAAAAAAAAGATAATTACTAAACTGCTGCCAGTTGTGCAACATTCTGACTTCTTCTGCATAAAACATGATACTACAAAGAAGTATAAATCCTAATTGCCTAAAAAAGGTTCTATGCATATAGGGTTTAATATAAAATGATAGGACTTCCCTGGTGGCACAGTGTTTAAGAATCCACCTGCCAATGCAGGGGACATGGGTTCAATCCCTGGTCCAGGAAGATCCCACATGCCGCGGAGCAACTAAGCCCGTGCGCCACAACTACTAAGCCTGTGCTCTAGAGCCCGTGAGCCACAACTACTGAAGCCCGTGCCCCTAGAGCCCGTTCTCCACGACAAGAGAAGCCACCACAATGAGAAGCCTGCGTACCACAACAAGGACCCAATGCAGCCAAAAATAAAATAAATAAATTTATTAAAAAAATACATATCCTTGGGTTTCTCTGGTGGCGCAGTGGTTGAGGGTTCGCCTGCCGATGCAGGGAACATGGGTTCGTGCCCCGGTCCGGGAAGATCCCACATGCCGCGCAGCGGCTGGGCCCGTGAGCCATGGCCACTGAGCCTGCGCGTCCGGAGCCTGTGCTCCGCAGCGGGAGAGGCCACAACAGTGAGAGGCCCGCATACCGCAAAAAAAAATACATATCCTTGAAGAAAATTTCCCTAGTAGTACCCTCTCAAACTGAACACATTAATTCATAAACAAAGCAATATAAAATTCTGTCATTCTTACCTCCTCCAATTATATTAGAAACAAACAGAACCAGTGATGTCTGACCACTACTTCTCTCTTCCCTTTTCTTTCTTAAGCCAGTGGTTCTCAAACTTTATTGCATATTATCATCTCTTGGAGAACTGTTATTATTTTTTTTTTTCTTTTTGCGGTACGTGGGCCTCTCACCGCTGGGGCCTCTCCCGTTGCGGAGCACAGGCTCTGGACGCACAGGCTCTGGACGCGCAGGCTCAGCGGCCATGGCTCATGGGCCCAGCCGCTCCGCGGCATGTGGGATCCTCCCGGACAGGGGTAATGAACCCGCGTCCCCTGCAACGGCAGGCGGACTCTCAACCACTGCGCCACCAGGGAAGCCCAAGAGAACTGTTATTATTATTACATCTACTGTATGCTCTCTGGAGAACTGGAAAACTAAAAAATACATGAACCTTTTCAAACTGAGGTATGAGATATTTAAGAGGCATCAAGCTACTTTAAGGATTAAGCATATTTGATAAGACTTACATTCCTTCTTACTTTGAAGCACACAGTTGGAAGTATAATAGGGAATCAAATTTTATTTATTGAATGAATGAACTGCAACCACTACATGTGCATAATCTAATAATGCTTAAAAATGAAATATTCTTTACTCTGTCGGGGCGAACAACGTTAACGTCAAAAAGAACTTGCTTTCTATCTTACCTAACTTCTTCATACTCCCCTCTCTCCGTAACTGTAGCAACAGCACCTGCCTGGTCCTGGCACTATAGTAAGTGCTTTGGAGACCTGCTCCTTAGTCAGGGGCTCACAGGCAGCAGAGCAGGGCTGGAAATCCAGGTGTCCTCACCCCATAAGTGGGGTCTGGAACCTCTGCAGTACAAGGCATCCTTCCTGACTTGTTTTTATCTCTCTGGTCTGATGTCTTCATACTTTCCTCCATGTAGTGGAGCACCTCTGTTCTTCCCCAGGGATAAAGAGTTGACAAAGCTAAACCACAAACTTAAAAAAAGGGAAATCCTAAATGCAAACACAGTTCAGTCTCCAAGCAAGTCATGCTCAGCTCTTTCTAATTCTCGCCCGAACAATTTTCAACAAGTCTCTTCCAAGTACACTTTTCAGGAAGGGCGGAATTGCCGAGGG